ATAACTACTAATCTATATTAAATAGACTAATAAGTAATAATCTTATTAAGTAAAGTAACTAGTAAGAAAGTATAATTTAAGTTAACTATAATAAGAGTAAATAATAAAACCTTTCTATCCTTATATTCTTATTACTTCTAGTCTAGCATCTAGCTAAGCCTCTAATATCTCTAATATCTTTAGTATCTCTAGATATCCTAGCATCTTCTAAGGGTCTAGTATCTCTAGATATTCTATCTTAGTAAGATACTATATTACGTAATTAGCGCTCTATATTAATTATTACCTTCTAATAGAGATATCTATAGGCCTTCTACTATCTTATTACTTATTAAGAAGAGAATTCTTCTTATTACTTGTAACACTATTATCTAATCCTACGATAGTCTAGTTTAGTAGAAGGCCTTAATACTAGCTACTCTAGTAAACCTTACTAGATAGTATTATAAAGGGCGGTAGAGACTAGCTAGATATGTTAATATACTTAATAGCTATTACTTACTTATAATTATCTAGCTATATAATAACTACTTAGCCTATTTTATTAGAGCTAGTTATAACTTTTAATATTATAGTAATACTTATCGCGAATCTAGTCTTATTAAAGTTATAGATATTCTAGTCTAGCATACTATATATCTAGCGCGTCTCTTCTACTAGCTTAAACTACGCTGTAATTACGATAGGATCCTTAGAGAGAGCGTACTAGCTATTAAGCCTTTTACTCTACCTCGTCTAAAGCTCTAGCTAACTCTAGATAAAGCGCGATATCTAGTTCTTACTAGTAAGTACTAAAGGCAGATCTTAGCTATGCGTAGTATAAAGAGTATCTACTATACGTCGTATATTAATAATATAGAGTAAAAACCCTTATTAATTAAAGTCTAGGATCTACTATATAAGAGACTACTCTTTAATAGGTAATAGCTTTCACTTAGTAGATACTATCTCTAATTATAGCTAGACGCCGTAAAGATGCGTTTAAAGAGTTAATTCTAGTATATTATAAGCTTTTCTAAGGGCGCAGAGAGATTGTTTTTTATTATTATAATAGGAGGCAATAGTAAAGCTTATTCTACCTTTACGAGAAGTCTATATAGAGCGTTTTTATCGCGATATAGTGGTGGTAGTATAGAGCGTCGCGTTAAGTTTAGTGGGGTGCGCAGCTCACTGGTGGAGCACGTTAAGTATTACTTATTAGTAAGCTTTATAGTACTAAGGGTCTACTTACTAATAAGCGCTTATTATTAAGTAGTTACGTGATAACTATTTCTAAAGAGTATACGTTTTTTCTTATAGCTATTCCACTCTCTTATAGATTACTCGTTAAATAAACGTAACGGCGAAATGTCCTCTATATCTTAAGGCTGGTCGTAACATAGCCTAAGCGTAGAGGTATTATTCTAAGCTATACTTTTAAGAGTAGCGCTATAATATCTACGCTAATATTAAGTATATATATCTAGCTATTATAACAATAAGTAAGCTTATTATCTTACACTTACCTTTGAGTTTAGTGGGCGGCGCGAGTAGCTACGTGCTAGGCCGAATCCGGCCCACCCATTATAGGTTAGAGGGGGCCTACTAAAGGTGGGGCTAGAAGGTACATCTATTTCCTAGTAGTACTTATTAAAGGCAGAGATTGTTACTAAAGCTTATTTATATAGTATAGAAAGTTATGTGTATATAACGACCCTAACGGGGTGTATACTGTAATATTTACCTAGAAGTAACTTCTCTTTACACTTAATATCTAGCTATTAAGAACTAGCCTAATTGGGTAATATTCCTAAGGTGTTGATTATAGTATTGAAGTTCTTAGGTTCTAAAAGGTAGCCATCTGTTGTAACTATTGTGGCCGTACCTTCGCTTATTCTGGGCCAAGGCTGGGGCGTAAGCCCCAGCCCATAACACTAGCCTAGTATCGGGGTTATAAGCTTGGAACCATAAATATATAATTTCAATCCTAGTACTACTATATAATCTTACGTTAGAAATAGAGAGAGGAGTCCTAGAGCACATTCTTAACCTGGACCATTTCCATGATTGATTAAACCCCCAAGATAGTTGCTCGTTATCGTAGTATAACCTGTCACTCATCTATCTCTCGATATCTCTAAAAATACATACTAGGCCAACTGTTGTCACGTTCACAGCTAGCAAGCTAAGATTCTGTTGAGGAACTATCTAAAGGGCGTTCAATCTGTTGTAGATAGGGGCTCAACTGCCGTAAGCATAAATGAAATAATATGAAGATAACCTCCTAAACTGGATGCACTGCTACCTCCGTTCGCTCCACAGTGAATGTGCTTGATTTTAAAATAGCTTTCTGGCATGGAATTGTGCTATCCATTGAGCTCTGCTCGGCTGGAATGGGCTCAATCCGCACAAACGTTTGCCGATCTATGTCTTTACGCGCTTCGTTGTTCACCCGGTTGAGCTCTATTGTGACAGGGTCGCCTTTAGTAGATCTCTGATGAGCCGATGTGGCATTACTGGTCCCTTCGGCGTTGGCGATGCGGGTAGATAAGAGGTCGATTCTATTTAATTGTATATTAGTATCAGTTGCTTCTAGTGAGGGGGAGTAGAAAGTAGAATAGGGGCAGGTACTTACAGCATGATTATAGGGAAGTAATTTACGCACGTTGTTAGCAAGCGATCCAATTCGCCAGCTAAATTGGTAGCGCTCTGCGCCGTCGTGTGGAAGTGATACGTAATTGTTCGACCGATACCAATGATAGCTAATGAGGAGACTCGGACCTCAGTGCTGAGTATGAGTTGTTTGAACAAGTTGCTCCCTGAGGTGAGAAACCGAGTCTGGCGCTCGCCTCGGATAAAGATCCGGAGAAGGAAGAAAGCGCTAATGGTTTCAATAAGAGCCAAGGAGCCAAAATAGCCAATATGAAGCTCATTTATGAGGAGTTGTCTAGTAGTGCTGCTAGATTGAATATCGAGAATTCTGTTACTGAGGATAGCAATGCGGAAGGCGACGACAGATACTATAAGAAACCAGAAGAGTGAGAAGAAAACGATTCTGGATTTTCCTTGTAGGAATCGTCGGAGGATGTCGTAACTGTAAAAGCATAGTCCAGCTTCTTGAATCTGTAATATCGTTAGCTTCTGGCAGGCTTATCAACCTGGATTTGCCATGTATTTACCAACCAAAACATGTCTGCAAAAGCGGCTGCTAGCACTTTTGCACTTGTAGAAGCGTTAGAGTAGTATGCTATGTAACACAGGCCATTCGCAATAGCTGATGTGATAGAACACACAACGGGCACGGCCCACAGCGTGGAGAAGCCCGTTATTGGAACAATCAATATCGCAGCGACAACATTGAGTAAATCGAAAGTGCTTAAGATGGCCCAGCTAAGTTCGAAGTAAGGAAGAACGGAGTCTGAGGACGACATAGTAGCGATGGTTGATCAAAATGTGGAGGAAATTCGACAGAAAAGTGGGCTTTAGTACTGGAGAAGGGTTCATGCCATCCTAGACCAGGCTCACTGGCCCATGACTCAGTTCGCTAGCCTGACACCAACTAAATGGCTCGAACTTTGTTTGCGTCTAGAACTTATGCTACTCATGATGGCACTACAGACAGGCTAAAGCCATCTCATCTTTTGCCTGCGCCTCTCAAATATTCAAAGATGATACGATTCAGATATTGCGACGCAAATGCTAATAGTGTCCATAACAATTTGTAGAATAAGGGATGAATACGACGTCGAAAATTTAGGTCAAAAGTAAACCATCAGCATACATTTGCAATGAAACATTTAGGGATTATTCAGTAGTTCTAGAAGTGGTCGGCAACACAGTAGGGCTGGATAATACCATAAAGGATTTGCACTGGTTCGGTTGGAGCGCAAGAGCTGTCTCCAACGTTGCAGTAGTGATTAGTCTCGCCAACCCCTATCTCAAGTACTAAATCCATTGACTCATTTGTTTTGTCATATATACCCTTTTCCCGATGAATAAATGATATCGCGAACCTAGCGTATAGCTAAAATTGTATAGAGAAATGAAAATTAGTTCTTAAAAACGCACTGATCAGTAGTATTGTCTGTTCCTGGGGTAAGTGGAGCTCCTAATCTGCGGCAACAACGTGCTAGCGCTAAGACAGCCGCATCTAGAAAACAGGTTCCCTAAGCTCTAGAAAGACTCTTGTGCGAGCTGTTAACGACTAGATTTGACTTAGGCTATAAGTGTAGCTCAGCTCCGGTAAAGCCTTGCGCCTATGTTTGGCCTAGTAAGTAGTTTTTGTCCGCTCGAGTCATTTAAACTCGAGCTTCGACCTATGGAAGCAGCGGAGCTGCACCTCCTGTCCCCCGCACCCCTGCTCTAATTATCTCCTAAATCCTAGTCATTGTCTAAGTCCCCGCAACCTGGATGCAGGGAGAAGCGAAGGGAGAGCGGAGAGCAAGTACGCTTATGAGGAAAGGCATTAAAGAGACAGCCAGCTAGAATAGGAGCCGTGCATTGGTGCTATTAACGTCTAATAAAATTACTAGTATGTGGGCTGCAAGTCGCTCCAGGGCCTCAGTACCCCGCGAAGCCTACATAAATTCTAGGCTGTCATCACGTCGCATTTGCTCAGAGATATGATCTGGCGGAGGTCCATGCAGTGCACAAAGTGTCAAATCTAGGACTCTGCGCATCCTATCTGCCAGCCCATGCTGCAATTGCGACGAGCATCGTTGTGAGCACAGCCGTTGCGAGGAGAATAATTGCGTCTGTCCGCAAGAGACAGCCGCAAAAGAAGGCGCTGCATGATGGCAAGGTAGCTGTTAAGGGGTGAAAGGGCATTGTCAATCCGCAGCAACGCAGGCCATTTTAGATCGGACAACTTTGGCTCCCCTGTTTTAGCGAGCATCGCCTGACATTGTGTCGGCACGACTTAGATGGTTTAGTTTGCGGTCGGGCCAAACGCACACCATCTACGCTAAAAGCGTAAGATAGTACTCAAGCACGTAATCTAATCGGGGTCTTACAGCTACCGACTACAGCACACTCTGTGGGTACGTAATCCTTTCACTTCAGCTTCGAAATGAGCTAATGGGCTGACCGCCCGCTCTGCCTAGCGAGCGATAGGGCACACAGCCCCCGCGGCTAATTTCAGCCATAACAGCTTTGTCCAGGGCCACAAGATCGCTAACGAGCTCCACTAGTAAGCCGCGCACCCTACTAAACCTGACGCGTGTAAGGGGCTACGCTCCGGGGAGCAATCACGAGGTATACGGAGGTACCTTTCAAAAGTCAAGGCCCCCCCCCTTTCAGAAAGCTAAAAGCCATTATGCCCAATTAGGTTATTCGCCTGAGCACGTGAGCAGGCCTTATGGTGCAAAGCTCGGTATCATTGCTTGACTGTAATTAACTAGTTGAAATTTTATAAAATATCCTCCCATTCAGAATTAGTAGATAGAGTAGTTAGTAGAAGGAGTAGCACAGAATCGACCAGCGTCTCCCCTGCATCACGCACGGATCAACCCACCAACATCAACACGCGATAACTCCGCCACCATAACTGATATCGAAAAGGTAATTATAGCAATCGATTCGCAAGGTCTGAAAGTTCCTTTATCGCATCGCGCAGTTACAAAAAATCTTAGTGTTGCGCCGTTAACGTTAACGCGCCGACATCACCAACAAACCCACTCTCGTGCTGCTGTTGCAGAACAACGACAATTAATCAGCCCACAATATAAAGTGGAGCTTGTCAGGTATATACAAAGACTATTAGAGCGTGCTTTACTACCTACGAGAGCTATAATAAAAAATATATTACTACTATTACAAAATAGGAGCCTTCTAATGGCTAGGTAACTAGATTTCTAAAGCGGAACAGAGAGAGTATCACCGTCAAGACCTCCACTAGCATCGATCAAGACCATCATAAAGCGAATAATATCGAAAAATACTATAACTCCTTCTATCTTCTCTACGATAAACTTAATTAATATAACGGTATGCTGCATAATATCTATAATATGGATGAGAAGGGGTTTCTCCTAAGAATAACTTTAAGAAGTAAAAGAGTATTTTTAACACAACTTTAGGATGCTAAGAAGGTTATAGCAGCCGTAAGAGATGTAAATAGAGAGTATATATTAGTTATAGGCTGTGTTTATGCTGATGGGAGCTAGGTAGATCCTATAGTGATCCTCGAGGGAAAAGCGGTCTTTATAATAGCTAGGTAAAGCACCTACAGCCCGACCAATACCGGATTTTTTTACTACTAGTAACTCTAGGTGGACTAACAACGATCTTAGATTATCTTAGCTTAAGCCGGTGTTTAACCGCCAAACTAAAGATAAAGTAAAGCGGAATTATTAATTGCTACTACTCGATAGTTATAGCAGCTATGTTACTTCTAGTTCTATGGACTACTGCCGCTCTCATCGAATACTACTCGCAGTGCTGCCTCTACACTCTTCTCACCGTCTCCAGCCACTTGACATGGGCATGTTCAAGCCTCTCTCCTCTGCGTATACTAAAGAACTTAATAAGATGCTTTAGTAAAGTTAAGCCCTGCTAGATGTGCAGAAAAGTAACTTTCTACGATGATTTTAGGCGGCGTAGACACATCCCTCCACATCCGATAAGATACTAAGCAGTTTTGCTACTACTAGCGTCTACCTGCGCAATGCCGACGTCGTACTTGAACGTCGTAAAATCTCAACACTACGACATAATGTAGATACAGAAACTAGAGAGCACGGTAATAGGGATACCTGGAGACAACTCTCTAATTTAGTTGATATTGCTACGTTAGGTTCTTTAAAAGTTAGGGTAAAACAGGTAAAAGAGGTCATTCATTCACTACAGGTAGATAATAAGCTTCTCTACTACGAAAACGATGAACTAAGCTCTGGAATTACTACTAAAAAACAGTTAAAGAAGCAGAATAAGATTCTACAACTATAGTAATATAAAGACTATTAGAGTCCTACGGTGGTTTAGAGTCTAAGTTTAGTTATAGAAGCTAGAGCTCAAGAACATCAAAGACATCACTAAGAAGAGTTTAAAAAACGCTAAAATCCGAGAGACGAGAGGCTAAAGCTGCTAATACTGCTCTATAAGAAAACTAGTAGAGAAGGCAAGAACTGCGCGGGAGTTAAGAAAAATAGCGAAAGAGAAAGAGCGTGAAGCGCGGGCTAAAGAACTTAAGATCGCGCGAACTAAGAAAGCTCGCGATCGCGCTACTACAATACTTATAAAAAACTTAGTATGAGTAAAATAGAGCTATCTAAAAAGCTCTATCAACTCAGATATTAAAAATATTAAAGCGTGGTGGTGTTGCGCGTCGCCGAAGTAGTAGTGCACCTACACCGCCGCCTGCGCAGTCTGCCATCAAAACTACCACGCGCGGCCGCATCATCAATCTCCCAAGCAAATATAATTAGATAGCTATCAAGTAAATAATTATCTAACTACTATACTAAAGAATATCGCGGTAATTAATCTTAGTATAGGGCTTAAAAGCTTCATGTTGTGATCGGGCGACGTTTTGGTGGGGTGTTGCATCGTCTGTACAGTTGCACGCACTGACCACCTACACTACTATGCAAAATCAGATAAATGACGTTAGAGATGACTTAAACGATTCTAATGTCGTTTCAAGATTAATACAGAGCCTCGAGGTCGTTTCGCAAAGGAGGCTCAGTAACTTCTCTGCGCATTCAGCCGTGAGAATATGCGTATTGCTATTGATTGTGACATCCAAACTGCCGGCTTGCGCTTGCGTGACGATGGACAGCTCAGGTGCTACTGTAAAGGGGTTGTCAAACCATTGTACTTTCGATATTCCGTCTGCAATGTGAATTTCCGGATTTGCGTCGATATTTTGATGTTTAATGTATGAGTCGAACATGGTCCCGGCTGGCCAATTTGTGCATTGCCCAACAATGTCATTGAAGCTCATTGAGTCTGATTCACCAATGGAAACGTACTGCTCTTGAATAGAGTGGAGAAGGTCAGCTACCGTTCTCGCTGCAGAGACATCCGCACGAACTGGGACGATGTTTATGCAGGGCCCAACTATCTCCGTAATGCCTAGAATATCGGAGTTTCGTCCAGCGACCAGTTGAGCGTAGACCACATCTTCTTCTCCGCTAACATGAGAGAGAACCAAAGCCCAGGCTGAGCTGACAAGAGACGCAATTGTTATTTCACCAGGTAGCTGAGGTAGGGGTAATGAACGCCTCAGCGTGATGTTGCGAGGACTGTCTACGTAGGTTGTAGGGGAAAGTTTTGGGACGATCTGGGTAAGGCGAGAGCCTTTGAGGAGATGCCTCCAATAGCAGGCAGACACGGGGGCTCTTTGGCGAGAGTATGCCAAATATGTTGAGAAGTCAGTGTCAAGGCTTAATGACTTGTTATCAAAAAGCGAAGTGAGCGTGTTCAGGATGACGGGGATACACCAGCCGTCATACTGGGCGTGGGATAGACGAATAAGAAGCCGAGCTGCCTTCGAGGCATTGCGAATGAAGATGAACGAAGTCGGTAACCCAAGCGGCGATAACTGACAGACATCTCGTAAAACTATGGCATTGGATTCTTCATCCATGGACCCATTGACCTCGAACGTTGAAAAAGGAGCATCAAAATCGCGAAGAACCATCTGTAAAAATTGACCTTCGTAGGACGTAAAATGCGTGCGGAGAATTTTGAAGTGCTGTGCAAGTGAACGACAACTATTTTCTAGACGTCTGACATCCAAAGAGGGGTTCAAATCCATATAGATGTAGTTGAAGGCATCACGAGAATTCCGTTTCCCGTGAGAAAGATAGTGTTCCTGAATAAAAGAGACAGGCCATATGTCCTCTACGCGATCCAAGGCTACGAAAGGTCGACATTGCGTTCCGCTGGAAACTACAACCTCGTATAGACTGGACGAGAGTAAAGAAAAATTGGCAGGGGGCTGGAAAGCAGTAGTAGGCGAATGCGAGGAAAGAGTGGCGAGATCGTGCAGTATTGAAGCCCGGAAGACCATCGCAACTGTCAATTGGATGCCTTGCTTGCGGGCTTCCGCCACCAGCTTCATGGCCCCGATCGAGTCGCCACCTAGGCGCAAGAAGTTATCGTCTAGCCCGATAGTATCCGCATTGATACCAAGTATTTGAGCCCATAGCTGCTGTAGCTTCTGCTCTATCACTGTTCTTGGCTGCCGCTTAGGTCCCTGGCTCTGCATACGCAGCTCAGCGAATTGCTGCGCTGAGAAGGACGCCCCTATCTCGCGCAGCCGCCGCCTGTCTGTCTTGCCTGACGTCGTTGTTGGAAGTTTTGCCAATTCAATGTACACCCCAGGCACCATATAGCTGAGTAGTCGCTCGCTAAGCTGTTCATCTACATTCGTAGGGAAAAAGACGCGGGACGCCAGCCCACCTTCGGTCAAGATGTTATCCTGCTGCACGAACACGGCCACCACTGCCTTGTCCTTCTCGTTTCCTGGCATAATCACCTCTGCTGCTACCTGCTCGGCTGTTGGCATACACTCGCGCACGTGGTGCTCAATCTCTCCTAGCTCTACCCGCTGCCCGTGTATCTTGACCTGCCCATCCTTACGGCCCACGTACACCAGGTCGCCATTTGCGTTGTAGCGTACCAGGTCGCCCGTCTTGTACAGTCGGCCTCGCCGCCCTATCTCTAGCAACCAAGCAGGGTCGCAGATGAATGCCGCCGCAGTCTTCTCCATATCATCGAGGTAGCTGCGCGCCAGGATCGGTCCCTCGATGAGCAGCTCGCCTACTGAGCCTAGAGTGGCCAGCCTACGGTGGTCATCAGGGTCTACCACCCAGCTGACTGACGCGATCGATTTCCCAATTACTGTAGATTGTGATGCATTTATATCAAAATATGCAGTGCTAAAAACACAACATTCCGTAGGCCCATAAACGTGTATCAGTCTAACATGACCTTCCCAAATGTCCCAGTCCGTAGGGCGGATGATTTCGCCACCCACTGCAAGTGTAGAGACAGAGGGAATCTCACGAAGGTCTAGGAGACGTGCAACAGTCGGTGTAAGAAAAACCCAGGTCACACTCATCTCGCTAATGGCCTCAGACAGACTATTACGCCGATCACGCTCTGAAGGGACACATATACATCCGCCGTGTATAAGTGTAGTCCAGATTTCGGCTATACAAGCGTCGAATGTGTAAGATGAGAACTGGAGGACTCGACTATCTTGCGTGAACCCAAGCGCTTCGCCGTGACCCAGACTACTCGTTGCGATGGCCTGATGCTCGACCACCACGCCCTTGGGCGTGCCTGTGCTGCCCGATGTGAAGATGACATAGGCACTGTTTCCTGGCTGTACATTCGGGTGCACTTTCCGCTCGCTGGCCTCGCTGAGCAGCTGATGGACCGATGCTTTACTGACTGTTACAACGACGCGACCTTCTCTGTTGCAAAGAGTCGTGTATTGCTCTGAAGCCAGCACTACCCTTGCCTTGGTCTGCCGAAAGATCTCCTCGTGCCGACTCGGTGGATGCTCTGGGTCAAGCGATGCAAACGCCCCGCCAGCCTTGAGCACAGCGAGCATTGCTACCACTGTCCACATTGACTTTTCGAAACAGAGGGGAACAATAACTTCTGGCCCAACTCCTAGATCAACCAGATGGCTAGCTAGCCTAGAGGACAAGGCATCAAGCTCGCCGTATGTAATCTCGCCGTATGTCGTCTCGCCATCCCACGCGCAGATGGCGGGTGCAGTAGGCCGTGCCCTTGCCTGCTCCATAAACAGGTCATGCACACACCGCTCTACCATTGCTGGAACTTTAGCGTTCCATTCCCATAGCTGCTGTTTATCCTCGGAGCTAAGTAGATTGATATCGGCAATTGTCGTGCCGACGTTAGCTTCTGCCATCTGTTTCATGACGAAGCTGAACTGGCCCATTATCTTCTCTAGCTGCCATCGCTCTATCGCTCTTGGGTCGAAACTAGCTGTGATGTGAACTCCTTCTGCCGCTAGTGTGCATTGCACCATTAACGCATACGTCGTAAAGTCCTGTATCTCTGAACGACTATGCCACGTCCCTAGCTCTTTGTTCATCTCCAGATGGCTATCAGCTGGCTGAACCACTACTAGCGACTGAAAGCTGCAAGCATGCTGTGCATCGACTCCCATCTTGGCGATCCGGTGCAGTCCCGTTTGCTCATATGGAATCATCTCGGTCGCGTGCCGCTGCACTGTATCAAGGAGAGCTTGCACAGTGAGTTCCTTCTGAAAACGCACACGCACCGGTACTGTCGCAATGGTAGGTCCCAGCATAGCCTCGATCCCAGGGACTGGTGTGTTTCGGCCCATTACTGTTGTCCCAAAGACAACATCATCTGAGTTGGTATAGTTCCCAATGACAATAGCCCACGCAGCACGGATCAGCGTCGACATAGTTATGTTGGATGCTGTCTTAGGGAGTGGCGCGCACTGGTACTCTAGCATTGCATTCGCAACAGGTTGCTGTGCTGATGACGATGTCGATAGTGGTGGAAACAGGGTCCCATTGAAGTCGGCAAGCGTGGCTTGCCAGTACTTCGTGATCGCCTCCTGATCTTGCTGGCCAAGATGCTGGATAAAGGCGTTGAACCCAGTAGGCTTTTCGACTGCAGTCTCTCGGTACGCCCTCCCAACCGCATTTAGGATGCGTGGCAAAGACCAGCCATCGTACAAAGTGTGGTGGATGGTCCACACAAACCAGCGCTTCTCGCCCCCGTGTTCCTTAACAATTGCATAGCGCGCTAGAGGGTCGCCCACCTGCATTGTTGTAGACTTATCCTTCGCAAGGTACGCTTGCAGATCATCAAACTCGGCCCACTGTATGCCTTCTGCAACGACAGCCTGCAATAGGCCCAGCATACTGTGCTGCACGATCCGGGTGCGCAGCACGGCTGATGATAGGACCACCTGCTCCCACGCTGCCCGG